CCGATTGGTCGACTTCACCGTTGCAAAAAAGCGTTTTATTTGCATCAAGGGCCACTCTCATGCATCGAATGATGTAACACACGACGACATTGAAAATTCAATTGTTTCATGGTCTGGTCAAACGGGCGCATGCGCCCATCGACTGGGCAAACGGCATGTCGAGTGATTTTCTATGGGTATACATGAATTCGAACGAAAGAAAAATGGTCGCGAGATCTTGTTTTACCCAGTGGAAGAGAAATTCCATTAATTATTGAATTCTGCAATAGGACGAAATACATAGAAGGACGATTTATAGAAATGATCCACCAAGCCAATGTCACAAAGCAAACGGTCGGAGTTGGGTCAAGATGACAGCTTTTGGGTCGGCCTCACGTATTGATCGTATTGCGGCATCCAGAGTCTCTCAAATTGTTTACCTCATTTTCTGCGACGGTGTCATCGATTACAACTCTGGTCCACGGAGTCACATGTCTTATCTTAATGATTATGAGCAGCCGCAAAATATCGAAGTTTGTATTGCACTCTGCTTTCCCTTAAACCAACGACAGAAATATATTTTCAAATTTGTCCTATTGCCAACCCTACACTTACGAAATATATTCTCGAAGTCACTTCGTGAATTCCGAACCTATAGTGTGACCCAATAATTAGTTGAGTGGTCAACAAGTATTGACCTTTGTGGGTGTATAAAAAGTCGCACTGTCCGGGGCTCCCATGCTAGACACTCATCCCTCACACATATAGTGCTACAATTGCATAGTCATTCAGCATTCACCATTTTTACTTTTATTGCCCATTGCGCCATTCTTACGAACGGAGGTATATTCAATTTGAAATAGTTGGCAAAATTAAGATACCGGTCATTGCAATTGGCCCCGAGTGCGAAATCGTCGCTGAAGCCTTTCCAATTGTGGATAGAATTCGACAAATCATCTAATGTTGGTTGAAGTGGAGGGATTCACTTATTGTTTTGCCACTCGTGCATGCAACGCAAACAAACCTTGAATCGCCCGAGTGTACCACTGTTCGGCAGTTGCGATATTTAAGGCAACATCGAGTGATTCAAACACTTGGCTGGCCAAGACAGTTATCACCGATCGCCTCATCGACCTGGCGGAGTTCCGAGACCATGTGACTGAGTCCTTGATACTATGGGGCACGTCATCTATAACCTTCCTCCTGGCCATATTGGGATTGAAAACGTTTTTCTAAATGTTACAAAATTTGAAATATTAGAGAAAATATTCTAGAAATATTCTGTATTTTGGAATGTCCACTGTTAACTTCAATTTGCTAAGGTGCCATAAAGTCTAGGTTCCAATGCGGCGGGCACTTGGGGAAACGATGGGTGCTTTTAGACTGCCTCTGCCTTGGTCAGTGCCTCTCTACGGAGACTACACCGCCGAAGACAGAATGAGACCACGGTCTGGCACGGGTTGTTAAGTCCAGCGATACATGTATTGAC